ACACTGTGCATTGCGATTGGTTCATCTTTTCTGAAGAGCAGTATATACATGTATAACAGAGACTCTATATACCAGCTGGCTTGGAGATCCCACTTTCCTAGAGAAAGGCTTGAAGAGGAAAGGAAGGATGGGTACACTGGTGTTGATTTTACTTCATGCCAAGTGCCTGCATAGAGGTGAATGACTCAGCTGCTCTCCAATACATGACCTGGAGGGAGGCCACAGCTCCACTGGAAATGGGATGTGCACGGGTGCTGTGGATACTGTAAAGGGTAAATAGTGTGAGCACACTGAGGACAGCAGCTAAAATGTATGTGTATAATGAGACGACAATGTAGAAGGATGTCAAGAATAAGTGTGATGTTTGCTGCGTTCCTTTTTCCTGTAGAGTTGTTAAAGTATAGAATTAAAAATAAAAAAGGTCACCTTGGGTGATCTTTTTGGTTTCTTCCAAAAAGGTTTAGTTATCTCAAAAACCTTGGGTCCAGAGAGGCCCCTGAAGACAACCTTTGGTCAGGAGGTGTGGGGCAGCCCTAGGTAGGGAATGGGGCAGAGAAAGAGTCGGGGGCAGCCTCTGGCCACATGAGAACTCTGACTGAGGCAGCTGGCCAAGGCCTCACCTGGTCTTCCAGGCCACCTGGTCTTTCCTCACTCCATAGGAAATCCCTTTGGGGACCTCTTTTCTTTAACACAACTCGTTCAGGGCATCCTCAGCTCCTGGAAGCCTTTTCAGGCCACTCACTTCCACCAGGAGAGCAAAAGAGAGTCAGAGAAGGAACAGAGGGTGGAAGTTTCTTGAGGGGTGAAGGGATCGATGGGCAAGGCCTGTGCCTCCCTTCTGAGCCCCCACCCTTCCCAGCTCTGGAGCTTCTGAGGTGGTTTGTCTCCATGCTCACTTTCCGGGCCTCTTCCAGTCAGCCCGTCGGTGGGGACAATCTAACTGCCTCAGTCAGATGTTTGCCTCTATTAGACAGAGGCCCATAACCCTCTCTCCACCAGGTGGGGTTTCAGGTAGTCAAAGGATGGGCTCTATCTAGGAAGGTGAGATTGCTGAAGATCTTCTCCTTTGTACCTTTTTGTATGCTTCTGTGTTGTGACTCTTTCATGAAGAGTGTTTGTTAATTTTATATTTGGCCTAAACTGGAAACTGTATTTTTAGTTTGCAACAATAAAGACTGTACTACCACTATGATCATCACTCTCCCTCTTCCCTCTTTCTGGCCCCTCCATCCTGGGGCCACTGTCCCTCGGTCACCTGTCCAAGCCCAGAACCCAGAAATGACCCAAACTTTCCCTCTGGTGAGTCTCATAATTAGTCTCAGTGCCCATCTGTTCTTTCTGGCATGTACAGGTATATAGAAAGTTCTCTCGATTATTCTGTTGTCTTCTCATGTCCCTAACATGCATTCATGGGGGCCCAACCACGCACCAGACAAGCTAGTCCCCAGTAGGAGAGGGGCTGTCACCTCTGTAGCTGGTTATGTCCTCCTCTCTCCTGAAGAACTTATATCCTGACTCCCAAACCTCCTCTCTTCTGAGATACTTTAACAATAAAAAAAATAATAACCGTAATAAGTGTAATAGGACAACAGTGAAGACTGACCATGTCTTTCAGGCCTTGCGGTTGCTCCACCCGATAGAGTGCCCTTGACCACAGAATGAAGCCCAGTTTTCTTAGTCCTGCCTTCAGGGCACAACTGCCAGTGTCCAATGAACGAAAACCCCTGCTCCAGGAGGCCGCATCCCAGAGGGGGAAAATGGGAAATTATAATAATAAAACAATTCAAAATAAAATAAAGTAACTTATTATTAAGTGAATTATTTGGTATATTGGGAGTTTATAAATCCTATGAAAAATGAAAAGGTAAAGCAGAAAATGTGGGTGGGGTGGAGGCAGGCTGCAGCCTCCTCAAAATGAAAATGAATGGGAACAAGTGAACCACCACTGTTTTTCAGAGAAGTCCTTACATAGCCACGCAGAGTGAGAGATTAGGAGAGACTCTAGAACAAAGTAATTTGGCAACAAATCCTTAGGAATGTGTATGCAGTCTAAAACAAAAACTTTATTCAGTACTGATATGTTTGAATTGATGGCGTATATTTTTTGGAGCTATTCTCTCTAAGTTGTCAGAATAAGTAAATAATTATGTTTATTTTGATAGGAACCTAGATTTCATGATTAATGAAAGGGAGGGCCAAAATAGTGATTGGGTAGACTCAAAAACTTGGGTAAGAGCAGAGTACTGTTTGAATGGAACTGAACTTATCATATGAAGTCATGTCTTTATAAAATGTTAAATCAAAAATATATTTTCTTTTTCCCCACCCAAATGGCCGGGTAGCAATGTTACCTCATAATGCACGCTAATGTCCAGAATTTGGTTTCTAATGCTACTTTTCTCTCGAAAGCGGCCAGGCTTTCTTGGATCGATATCAGATTCCATGTCTGCTCTTGGGCTAAAAGGTACAAAGCAATCTCAGAACATCTACACTTTGTTGGGCCAGAAGCAAAGCTTTAAATAATTGGATCATTCAAAATTACACAATGATCAACCTAAAAGAGCTCCCACTGGCCAAAGCTGGGGCAACGTGAGCACCCACAAGGAGAATCTTGGCTGACATTGACTAACACAATAAATTGGAAGTCATGAGTCCAGAGTGATACACAAAAAGAGCAAATGCTAACATAATGAATTCTCAAAGATGAATAGAATGCATTTCTACTGAGTCTTGTTAATCGTGTTGGGCTTATCGACTCACTTACTAGATCAATGAAGAATACTAGTAAATGTAAATTAGTTAATGTAAGTACACCAGTCAGAAAGCATTTTTCTTCACCATCACCATTCCTTGGCCCAAGCCACCACCCAAGCCCATCTGAGCTCCTGCAGCAGCTTCTCATGGGCTGCTCCACTTGCAATCTTTCCAACTTGCCCATCTCCTCCTGTTTACTAGGGATTTCATGGCAAAGTTTTTTAAAGATCCTTTTACAGAAGGATTGTAGACTCTGTCTAGCCTCTGCGCTACTCCCATCTCTTAAATTTTTTTTTCCCCTTTATTTTCCGTGTGCCCTATTTTTCCTTAGGCTAACTTTCCGTGGGTGCAGATCTCTCAGTTTCCTTTGAATCTGGCCTGCCTCACTCAGGGAACTTCCGCTGCTTCTGGAGCCCACCTAAAGGGGAGAATTGCATTACGTCCACGGGTATCTGGCGCCACCTTGTGTTGAGTGCTGGGAAATTCCTTCTTCTGTTCCACTCGCTGAGAAACGCCCTGGGCTTCTAGGATAAAGGAAAAGCTCAGACAAGTTTCCTAGAATGAGAACTCAATTACAAAACTTCCACGGGCTTGGCCTCTCACAAACCTTTACTGTCGTAAGCGGATTTAGAGTTTAGTGGCCATCATCTTCTTACTCGTGCTCTGTCTGTGTCTAGCTCATAGCTAGGGGCTTCACTCTGCTCCCGTGGCTCTCCCTCCCTGCTGGGCCCTTTAGCCTCTGACTCACTGTCCTGTCCGTCCTTCCTTCCTCTATGTTGCCCTTCCCTACCTCTTAAAAAAGTGGTGTTTCCCTCCTCATGTCCCATGTGTCTGCCAAACTGCCTCAGTATAAGATGAAGCCTACAAACATCGACTTGGGTTTCTAGCCTTAAGACATCATCACACTCCAGAATTTAGGGCCTTCTGATGTCACCCCAACCTTCATTAACGACGTCGAAAGGCTTTCTCAGGTGAGGCCTGTTGAAGGGCTTTCTTAGGTGAGGCCTGTTTCATTGACGTTAACTCACAGCTGTCTCACTTTCACTTTTGAGTCTTGCAATTGGAAATAGTTAATGGAATAGCTCCCTCTCCTCAGATTAAGCCCCGATTATGGAGGACCAATGGGGTGGAAGAATTACTGTATTTTAATAAAGACTTTTAATTTAGTGGATGGCAGAAAGTAGGTGCTGAAATTTAAATATACTGTATAACCGTAAACCGCTCAGTTTTAATTTATGAGATGATTTCTTTGTCAGATAACAGGATATGTCTCCTCCCTTCTATTTCTTTCTCTCTCCATGGCCCCTCCTTCTTACTTCTTTCCTTTTCTAACAGAGTTTTAGACTCTGAAGGAGAAATTTAACTTTGTGTTGGCAGACAAGCCTCGGGTTGAAGAACTGATAAGAAGCTTGGGTCTGAAGTGTGGTTCTAAACATGTTGCCTCGAAACAAAAAGCCCAGATTCTGGAGATGCAGATGATACTGGTGGCAATAGGTACATGAAGGAGCTGGGTCTGGACTCCCCACCTGCCCCACTGGGCGGTGCTCTTCCTGCTCCTCTTCTTGTCCCTTTTACCCTAATTGGTGGTTGAAGCTTCAATGCTTGAGCTGACCAGCCAAGGCTGGGCTGGGCTAATAGTGCAGCCCTAGGAGAGAACAGGAGGCCTTCTGAGCCTGACGGAGTAGCAGTCTGGCCTATTGATAACAGCGTCTGCATCTGAGATTTTATCTGAAAGTCCTGAGCCCCCTCTCAGGACTTGGGGAAGCCTCTGGCACTGTGGTTCTCTAGGTTGTTGAACCGTCTGTCCTATGTCAGCTCTCATGGAGAGGTGTCCACTCTTGTGGGCAGGACAGGAGAGGCAGGGTTTCTGCCAAAGCCACTAATAAACAAATTCTTCCCATCGGAGAGGGAAAACGTTGCCAATCGGTTCTCTTTAGTTTGGGTTCTTTTCTCTTTATTCTTTGTATATCTTTTGTAGGTTTTCGGTTTTTGGTTATTATGAGGTTATCACGTATATCATTAATCTATCTATAGCAGTCTATTTTAAGCCGATAGGTGTTTGAGTTTGAATATATTCTATAAGGACTACATTTTTACTCCTCACTCCATGCTTTATGTTCTTGATGTCTTGTTTTAGATTTTTTTGTGTTATGCATCTCCTAACTACTTGTTATAGTTTGAGTTGAGCTTG